AGACCTATTTTGAAAACAACAACATCCAAGCTTCTGGCAGTAGTGGCACACGAGTGTTTGGCAGATAATGTGAAACATCTGTGCTGAAGAGTTTTCACAAACTTCACAGCACCTTTCTTCGTTGCTCTGATACAGTCACGGTGATTAACAAACCGGGAAGATCCGGGTTGGAATTGATCTTCAGTAACCCATGCTTGTCGTAAGAAGCGACTAACGGGATCGGGTGGTCAGGCTCGCTGACTTGGTTGACATACGTCATCGTATCCCAATTGTGCATGATCTAAGCTCAGGCTGATGATAAGGCCGTCCGGGTTTTTTTTGTGTTTCTCATATCCCGACCGACCCAAATTTTCCTTCCGACGGAACAAAAAAATTGTTTCCTTTTTTTTACAAAATGCCGCCGACAGCAATAATTTCAGCCCGATCAAACGAAAGATGTGTCTTTGAAAAAAATATAATATTTTGAAAAGTCTCTCAAGCATCTAAATGGGCGATCTTTTTGAATTTATCTTCCCTTCACTAATCCGCTTGGAGCGCTGATCCGGACGGTCCAACCTTAAACTGACAGCGCATGTCTTATGCGCGATGGAGCAGTTCTTGTTACTAACCACTTAGAGACAGTTAACCAGTACAGCCTTCACCATCACCGGTAACGTTCACGCTGGTGCATATGGACAGTATATCTTTTCCCTTGACCGATGATATATCAAGTGTGATATCCTGAAATATTTGTTATGTGATTCCATGATACAATCGCAAAATGGCCATTCGAAGCGAGGCGGTGGAATCAGCTAATCGTTTTCAGGTCATATTTTGTCATTTTGTTGACGTTTTGCAATCGGTAATTCAAATCTGACACTAGATGTCTGAATATCACACTTTTAAGCCGGCAATTTGTGTATTTTGCATTTGTAATTCAGTACGCCCGGGAGCTGATGCGGTGCGCGAAATGTGAAAACATTGTTACGCAACGTGTGAATTTCGTCGTGAATTTTATCTGATATTTTTGTATGATGGTGCGTGTGTACTTTGGTATTACATTACACATCATTGTATATAAGTATTATCTGTTAAATTTGTAAAAAAAATAATGCATATACATATCTACATGGAATTTATGTCATCAAAAACATATTTGATTTTAAACACATTTTCTATGTTAATTCCTAACAAACAGACATAACACTAAAGTTTTCCTTAGAACCGTTGAATGAAAATCAGAATATAAAGCTATAGCTAGATAGTATATGGTCTGTCATATGATATATTTTATCAACATAATGTTACTAAAACAAGAAGATACATATGTCATTCTATACACATATAATTCTATCATACACATCCTCTTGGGTGGTCAGAATGATCCGTTGAGACGAATCTCTCTAAATGATTACTTATGTTTAGAGGTTGAATGGTGTTAAACTTTTGTAAGAAATGGATCAATGAATTAACATATATAATGACTCACAGCACTGACTGATGGGCACATCTTATAAGGGCTAAATCTTGTATTTCAAACAATGATGACTGGTATTTATGCTGCAACCGACTAATAGGATAATAGGTGTATGGTACATTATGTATGCGTCAGAAACATGCGTTTAAAAACAAAATGAAATGTGTGAAGAACAGCTGATCAAAACGTACTATTCATATTTATAATTAAAAGTTACACTCTACACAGAATTTCTTCAAATGTCAGGGATGTACAATAAACACAAATTTGCGCTAAAGGCCTTCCAGGGGAGGTACAGGTCCGTTGGTTGGAGGTGTATCTCCGATTGTTTTTACATTGAGGTCGGTGGTAGTATGAGAACTATTTGTTAAATTTGCGGCAATAGTTGAAGAATTGCCGTCGGAAATAACATACGGGCTGATATATAAAGTGAGTTTACATTATTTCATAGGTGCTATGACACCCGAGACTTACACTGTCTCGTGTTCTGTCGTAGGAAATGCCGTGACAATATACCGATTTTTCATCTATCGTCTCAATTCGTACTGCGCTTGGAAATTAAACTGTGGACCTGCAACCAGTGAGCTACCAGTGGACGACAGCCTTTGACCGGTGGCCACAAAACCTACAAAAAGTGATAAATCTCTCCAAACATAAAGAAAGTGCCAGTTTTGAAGAACTGAGTTTGTTGTATTCTGATCTAATGTGACATTTAAAGAGGCTCTATTAAAAGTTTGTAGCATAATTATTCCATATAGTTTCCTTATGTTTTATGATATGTGAACTGTCTAAAACTGAGAAAAAAAGGATTTCTCACAATAAGAAAAGCCTCTTTTTATGGTCTGGGTACTGTAGGAGGGACATTTTCAATCACCAGCTTGAAAAGAAGATGGCAAACTGTTTTTGGGGGTGTTTTTTTTTTTGTCGTCCGCCTGCCCCTCATCAGCACCAGTTTGGAGATGAGAAACATAAAAAAATGTGGATGGCCTAACTGAATTGTCTGGTCCAGAGACGATTATTTACAGACCGCCGCCATATAGCTGGCATATTGCTGAGTGCGGCGTAAAACTAAACTCACTCACTCATGATTATGAAAAGTTTGTGTTTTCCTTATGATTGATCACTGACCAAAACTATTGTGTAAACACCTTTATGGATTAAGTTTTGTTTCATTGTGTTCTCGATATCTCTCCATTTTTCACTGGATCAGATTTGTCTTGGTTATAAAGGTTCAGTTTGAATATAAATAACCCTTACTATAACGCTGAGAAATTTCTCCCCAAAAGAGAGTCTATTGTATGATTCCGACTGTACCATATTCGGTGTATATATAGAAAGACAAGTGTATACTTACTGAACTCTTGCCTAGGTCATGATGTCCTGTCATTTACACTCGTCTATATGGTTGTGGGACAATGCTGCCCCTGTAATACTATAAGCATACTGCATTCGTTTGCTAAAGCATGTGATATAGAGTGGGTTTGTTCCGCGTCACTTTAAACACTGTCAGTATTTCGGTTGGATCACGTTGTGACAGCCTGACTTGGATAGAAGGCTAAAGTGATGCATGTCTAATAGATATGTCCATGTGCACACATACTACTGCATGAACTGAAAAACAGAAACATATTTAGGCGAATCTGGGATTGGAGCCCACGATCATAGGTTTCGGGCAGGTCTTAGGGGCGTAACTCTGTGCAGCGTGTAAACGCGTCTTAGACGAATCGGCGATCCTCAGTCCATGCTCTTCTTAAAAACACAATCAAACAAAAACGAGAAATGTATCTATCAAAGTAAATACATAATTCTATTTCATACTGCCATGTGGCTGGAATATTGCTGGCTGCTACTTTAACAACAATCAATCAACAATCACAAAACTTGTGGAAGTCGTGGTGGCTGAGCAGGTAGGCGTCAGACTTTGTGTGCTGGCGATTAGGTGCCTGACTCAGAGGGTGTTGGTTCGAATCCTGGATCGGACTCAACCCAACAAAAGTACTAGAATCTGCACTTTACTAAGAAAGTGCAATCTCAAATATGACATATGTTACATCTGACCACTTTCTAAATGGCATTGTGTATCCTTAACAATTAATCAATTCTATTGTTGAGTGAAATTATGTTTGTAAACATAGACATGTACATAACACATTCCTTAGCCTTTGCATGTTTTTGTGACACCGACCGGGCAAGACGCTCACCTTTTCACAAAATTTGATGTCACCATGGTCAGAAAGTGATTCCTAAACACATGCTCATGATCGGTACGGATTTACTCTCATGCAGCCCCTCTGTCCTTTGTTGAGTTGCAATTATGTCATTCTTTACTATTCTCGTTTCGGAATTAATATGATCATTACAGAATTTGAAGTGACGAATAAAGTCATTGAATTATTTTTACATTTTTATATATTTTAATTCAATTTCAGTACCACAGTAAACATTTATTGCAAAGATGTATTGTTCGTATGTATAGCCTACTGTAGAAAAACGATGTTGTAAGCACTTTGGTACTTGGTCATGTCTATGTGTCGAACACTCGGATAAGTCGAACTTTTCCCTTGGTACAGACGGGTTCGACACAACGGGATTTGACTGTACAAGATACAAACTTTAAAAGCCTAGTGATACCTCCTGTGAAGCATGCATTATTGTTTACCGAAATTTCTCGTTATTTCATATATTTGTTTAGCTTTGGAGTTTTTGTTGTTACATCAAATTTTTTCAATTTCTAGTTTCTTCAAGCGAACATCTGGAATTACCACACAAAAAAGAGAGACCAATCGAAATTACTAAATCAAATAAATACATTTATGTTACAAATGTGACACCAATAGGCTTTCTTGACAAGCTGCAGTATCTTTATTTAACGGGTATCATAGAACAAAGAACATTAGCTATGAACCTCTTCGTGCAAACCTCTTCACGCAATTTAGAGAGCAGAGTTGGTCTCCTGTGCGCCCCGGCCCGGTTGTGGGTTCAAATTCCGTTCCGTTCCGTTCCTATTGCTTCTCGGCTTTACAACACCATATCCGAGGTCGTGGGTACCAATTGCTAACGTCTTCAACCACATCGCTGCCGGTCCTTAATTGACATAACCCGTGAAAAACCTGGATAGAATTGGTCTTCAGAAACCTATGCTTGTCTTAAGAGGAGACTGACAGACCTGCTGACTTGGTTGACATTTGTCAACACAATTGCTTAGATCGATGCTCCTGCAGTGTGTTCATCTCTGGATTATCTGGTCCAGACACGATTATTTACAGATATAGCTGGAATATTGCTGTACCCAGTTGACGTGCCTCGATATAGCTTAAATAGTGTTCAAAGCTGCGTTTAAACAAACTCAATCACTCATATGCATTTTGCTTAGGTTTGCCGTGTCTATTTCCAAGTTGAAACCGTAACTTAACCAGGAACAAGAATTCGCTGTGAAACCAACAAACATAGTAATACAAGACACTTGATATGGATGTGCAACTTCTTCATTATGTACACATATGTATACACATGTATGTGTGTAAACAATAAAGAAGTTGCACAAACAATATCAAGTGTCTTGTATTACCTTACCAACTTGTAAATGCCTATCAAACATCCAACGAACTTAGGATTAACAATTGTATTTCGAAATTATTTGTAGTTTAAAATTTCTTACAAACTTCTGCAAGGGAATGGCAATGGCAGAAAAAATAACTTAAAATGGTATCATATATACCGAATATGGTATTCGCCAAGCTGAAAAATATATAGTGGTCACGGTTGCAAAATAAACCTGGACTGAGATTCAAGCATGCTGGGTGATCTTCACCCAAATACTGACGTATATTGTGTGCTAACAGGGGCAAGGGTGTGGCCAATGTTACACCCATTTATCACAGCCATTTATCAAAGGAATGGATTCAGCTCTATGTCATGATGATGCTGTTCAAGCGAGATCTCTGCTAATGGGGTGGTATGAGAGTTTTGTCACCATAGTATATATACCTGAACAGCTCACCAGCCACACAGTCCCAAGTTCTTATTGACCTCGCGTTAAGTTTTTTGGCTATTTCTTGGGTTCGAATCCAAGTATGGACAACATAATTTGAAGTCTCCCAATCAAATGACTTGTTTCCATACAGGAGTGACATGCTTTCTCCAGGATTTGGGTGGTTCATGGATCTGAATTCTGTGTTAATGAGGTTGGGGTACTTTTGTGCCAGTATTGCAGGAAGCAGCACCGAGTGGTAGCCCCACACACTGTCGTCTAATGTCTTGTATTCCTTGTACCAGATCCTGAGGAAGTCTGCCCACGGCCTCGCCACAATCATACCATTACAGAGTCCATCCAGTGTCTCGTATCCCATAGTAATGTCGTAACTGCACAAGAAGAGGAAACACACACTGGAATTATTCCTATCTAATTACATATACTTATCTGCCGTAACACTGTTTTAACGAACTTAAAAGTTGGTAATATGGATGTGGTGTTGGGTATAATAATATGTTTTGCCTAAACATATCGGTGCGACTAAGGTGTTCATAGTACAGTTACTCAAGAAGATCATTGATAGAAGTGGTCTTCAGGAACCTGTGCTTGGCGATTAACGGGATCGGGTGGTCAGGCTCGCTGACTTGGTTGACACATCGTATCCCAATTGTGTAGATCGATGCTCATGCTGTTGATCACTGGATTATCTGGTCATGACTCGATTATTTACAGACCGTCATTATATAACTGGAATATAACGCCTGAGTGAGGCGTTGAACAGCAAAGCATGAGGTAGTGAGGGGCTAAATGTGTTCTGAATCGAAACCCCAGAGTCGTTATGAAGAACTGAACGAACCTGTAGCGTTTTCGTCCAAATTTCATTTCACAATCGCAAGTCAAAAGATTCCAAGCCACTAAAGTGTCCTGAAATATTCCAAATAATCCAAGATTACAGGGTTTCATGGAACATATATACAGAAAGGTTTTATTGTATTGTTGCAAAACATAAGGTTTTAATTAACCCTTAGAAACGGACGTAAATGTCATAATAAATGAAAAGGTGACATGCTATCGTGACTATCAGATAATGACAGGATAACATATTCAGGTATCATGTTAAAACAGCACATTTATATGGTTTCTTGTCGTTATAGTAGATTATGAGGTTTCATACCAGATATCAGATTGTAGCAGATTAAATGGTTTCTTGTCGTGATGGCAGATTACTAAGTTTCATGGCATAGTAGCAGATTATATGGTTTCTTGTCATTACGGCAGATGTTGTAAGGGGGGAGGGGGGTTGAGTCTCAAATCCGCCATTTTCTTTTTATGACGTAACATAGGTGTGACCCTTGTGTGACCCATCCTCCTTCGGGAGTCCCCTTCCGTTGTGTGTGTGTGTGTGTGTGTGTGTGCGTGCGTGCGTGCGTGCGTGTGTGTGTGTGTGTGTGTGTGTGTGTGTGTGTGAGTGAGTGAGTGAGTGAGTGAGACCTTCAGGTTCACCTTAGTGGTATTATTTTAGGAGTTTGCCGACTCGAGTGTTCAGATCAGAGTATCGTCTTCATCATCATCGTTCCATTTCTTGATCTCCTTTGATCGAGTACTCTGATCAGTTACAGACACCTTGCGTTTTTCACAAGGTTCGTACGACTCCATTCCGACCTTCTGGACGAGTTTCATAGGCACTCCTTATTTCCGCTGTCTCTTCATTTTCTTATATACCAGTATAACTGATTACTATTCTTTTGATGTATATCCGAGAAATTAAAGACTATTTACCAAGAGGGTGAACGTGGTGTAGATCAAAGTAGCATATCGCCCCCTCGCATTGAACTAATGCTAAGTGTTTCTTGACACATGTACTGCTCTAGTGATACATATCAATATAACCCGATTGGTATTCTTTGGATGAATATTTACATCGCAATTAATTTAGTAATCGGGTAGCATTAGATCAAATCTCCCAGTTAAAACAAACGTAGACCTTCACAATCGTCTCGTCTTGAGGGTTGTTATTTATGCATGTACTATGCCCCGTTGACGGGTGTGTTTACTCTGTGCATGTGGGGTATATTCATAAATAAAGAAGGTAAAAGGAATGAAAGAAACATCAAAGATGCAGGTCCCCGTAGGTTTACCAGATAAGACGGTAGGTATGTCAATACCTCGCGCGACGCGGTTTGTTTGCCTATCTTAAGTCAACGAGATAAGCTACATCAAAGAAAGGAAAAAAGATCAAATTGGCACCGCCGGCGGAGCTCCCATAGGTTTAACATAGGGCAAATTGTCAGCTTCCGTTATGTAGGGAGACAAGTGTCTGACCAGAATTAAAGACAGGAAATAGTAAGCAGTTGAGGACTTATGGTCACTGAATATCTCAAGTAGTTTGATTGTACAGTGATGAAATGATTTAGCATTTGTCATATATATTACTGAATAAGAAAACAAAACTACATGTGTTCTCCTGTAAAACTTTCACTTTTACTCAAAACTTTAAGACTTTACTCTCAAACTGCAAACATAAAAACCCATCTTATGTCCATGAATACTATATATGACACCTATTTGACATCATGTGACACATAGGTTACTCACATGCCGTTAGCCACTCTTATTCCACAGACAGTACAATGAAATACTGGAGTAACTTGTGACTGTATTGTGTAGGGTATAAAGAGGTTAGGACCTCCTGGTGTTAAGAATTGTATTGTAGGTTAAATGTATTCAGTGACATAGGGAGGATTATTTATCAGTTGTAAAACAAAGATTTGTACAACGAACGGTTGTCTAATGTCAATCTTCAAGCAATGCATTAAGTGAGTGAGTGAGTTTAGTTTTATCTTGCACTCAGTAATATCCCAGCTATATGGTCTGTAAATAATTGAGTCTGGACCAGACAATCCAGTGATCAACAGCATGAGCATCGATCTACCCAATTGGGATATGATGATGAAATGTGTTAATCATGCCAGCGAGCCTCACCACCCGATCCCGTTAGACGCCTCTTACGACAAGCATTGGTTACTGAAGGTTCATTCTAACCTGCACCTTCACGGGTACAATACATTAAGAAACAAGAAAGATATACAGAAGCTCCGTTTCAAATGAGTAGGCTTTAGGATAGGAGCTCTCCCAAATGTCTACTTTACATGTTGTGCTAATTGTATTATTGCCCTTCCTCAACGTCCTGTCCTTCACTCTCTACATCAGATGTCATGTCTTCATAATCATCATCAATTAAGTCTTCTACCCAAGATTTATATTGGTACAGTTTGGAAAACACGTCATGATACAGATTGTTCGTGTCTTGTACTCGTTTCAGTATGCCTTGTGTCTTTGGACCCAACTGCATATGATACAGATAAGTAATAAATCGGGCATACGTCTCTTTAAACGTGCTCCAGATGAATTTCTTCAGTTTGGCTTGTATCATGTCTTCGTGTAACCCTCTTTTCATGTACAGCTGTCGTTTCTCATCCAAAAAGTCTTTATTCAGCTCACGCGTCCGTGAATACATTTGTCTTATACCTTGCTCCTCGAGATCAGCTATGCTATTTTTCCTGTTGCCGTGTGTGACATCACTTAACGATACAGCATCATCATCATCAGTTTCCATTTCAGGACATTGTTTATCGTGCAAATGTCTTTGTAAGTTGTGGTTATTGCTAAACACTTGACCACAATAGTCACAATCTGACAGAGGACGTGGTCTCTTCACAGCAGAGAAGTTGTCGTCTTCCTCCCACTTCCTTTTAACTTGGGGTATTCCAGGTGGACCCACTGAAGACTTTTCAGGACACCAGTTTCTTCTGTGTTTTTGCAAATCATGCACGTCTTGAAACACGAGTCCACTGTCATCACAAGATGGCATTGTTGGGAGGTTTTCTTCACACGTCTGCTCACTCTGAACGTCTAACTCGGATTGAATTGTCCTAGCTCGGAGGTCTCCTTTTAAACTGAATGCGTTGGGACAAAGTCGCAAATGGGGAGGTGTTTGGGGTTTTAGATCAACCAACAAGTATCCATAAGGTTTCTGGGTGGCCCTTTGAAATGGCTCCATGAAATGGTCTGTGTTACCTGGATACATTTGCCTCGCCAAAGTCATGATGGGTTGTTGGTCAATAGGGTTGTTGAACAGAAGCAGATAATGACAGTTTCTTCGTTGTGTGGGATCCTTACTGTAATACAAATTCTGGTTCAAGGCTATAACTGAGAGATTACGATGATGACTTCCTTCGGTAAAAAGATCTGTAATGCGTGGATCTTTGCTGGCAGTAGACATAAAGTCGTCGAGGATAACCACGTTCACAACACTGGGGTCCAGAAACGCATCCTTTTCGAGGCGAGAAGGAATGCCTTGATGAAATTCAACGTAAGGATAAACACAGGCTTGAATGGTGTTATACAGTGGCTGCCATCGTTTGTAGAGCCATATAATACGTTCAGGATAAGGTTTAATGTTCATCCTTTCTAGAAGCTGCTTCACTAAGTAGGTTTTCCCACAGGAGGTGGGCCCCGAGACGATCATGGTAAATGGATGTAGGAGCCTAAATTGTTCCCATGACTGGGTAGTACTTTCTGATGAATGCGGTTGTACTGGTTGCACCAAAGGTGATGGTACTTGTGGTGGTGGTGGTGGTGGTGGTGGTGGTGGTTGTTGTTGTGCTTGTGGTGGTGTTTGTGGTGGTGGTGGTGGTGGTTGTGGTGGTGTTTGTGGTGGTTGTGGTCGCTGCGTTGCTCGTCTGTGTTGATTCCTGAAATGTCTAATCATGGCATCCCTTCTGGAAAAAGTCTGCATATCAAGTCACTGGTAATCTTCCCTTTAATAACCTATTTATAATACCATTGACGGCAAGAATCTGTTCTCTGTTCATTTCTAAGATGTCTTGTCGAATGTCCTCAATGTCTTGAAACATTAACATGAACCTTAAAAATTCGTAGTGTTTCAACACGCACCTAGCCATAATAATTCTAGCAAACAAGCTCTTATCATGGTTGGGATCTCAATGACCTCTATTTATACACAGAGTCTAAAAATACCTCTGGGAAAGTACCAAATTCAGCCCGTTACATTGTTGTGAAATAAGGTCAACCTGAAGGTCACACACACACACCGGTAGGGGACTCCCGAAGGAGGATGGGTCACACAAGGGTCACAGCTATGTTACGTCATAAAAAGAAAATGGCGGATATGAGACTCAAACACACACACACACACACACACACACACACATACACACCTTACAACAGGCAGATTACTAAGTATCATGACATTGTACATAGCTAATTATATGGTTTCTTGTCATAATAGCGGATTACTAAGTTTCATGGCATTGTAGCAGAGTATACATGGTTTCTTGTCATTACGGCAGATTATAGTTTCATTGCATAGTAGCAGATTATATGGTTTCGTGTCGTGATAGCCAATTATTACGTTTCATAGTGTTGTATCAGATTATAAGGTCTCGTGTCATTGTGGCTGATTTTATGGTTTCGTGTCATGATAGCAAGATATCAAGTTTTATGACATTTTTGCAGATTATGCATATGATGCCATATCATTAAAGTACATTAAATAGTTTCAAGGAATTTACGCAGTTTAAACAGTTTCTTGTTAAATAGTGTTAGCACATCCATAAAAATGTAGAGGCGAGCTACCTGATGAATAGGGTTTCATGTCGTGACTCAGTCAGTTACGCTGTGTGTACCAGCTAAGTCGCCTGGTCCTAAACAGCTGTGAACGGTAGATTAAATAGACGCTTGACATTAACACAATTTAAACAGTTACATGTAAAACAAATTAAAGCAGATGAACAAAATAATACACACGATTGAAGTGGCGATAGGGACCTCAAGACGATGACATCCAGGTCCATAGAGATGCCACCATACTCCATGAGGGCCTCGAGTCGGATAACATCTGACTGGTGTGCCGGTACCTCGACGGGCTGTCCGAGGACGATATGGGGAGGGGCCCTGTACACCAGCACTATCTGGGGGAACCGCTCTATGACCTGGTCCCAGTATTTCCCCTCCGGTATCATATCAAACCAGAACAGAATGTACTTAGGTTTAATAAATCTATGGATGGATTGCAGGCACACCAAGTGGTGGAATAAGAATGTGTTCTTCTTCGGACCGCCATACCATGCCACGTGAACTGTATTGGGCACAATCTTTTCGTCATGTACTATCAACCTTTTATAATCCACTGGCGCGTTCAGATTTTGGTAGAATGTTTGATTTCGTTGGTATACGAAATACTCTGTTCGATTTTGTGTTACACGACAGATTCCTGGGAGGATACAGTGATCAGTTACTTGAAATCTTCTTTCTCTGAGAATTCCTAACACAGGTTTTGGAGGGACGAAAACTTGATTTACAATGACCAGTATGCCTGCCGTTATAGACAAGGTCGCCATTGCACACATCAGTGTAGATCGATGCGCCGTATATTGCCTTAATGAACTAGAAAAGGCCATCTGAAAAAAAAAAATAAAACATTATATAAATATTAACTCTCGGTAGTCAGAGAGAAGATTACACTGTTGTGTACATTGGAATGAGGCATTTCCTATTTTAATAAAATATATGAAAATCAAAATAATTATGTCTGAACATTTAATACGCTAAAACCGGTACAAAACAACAAAACCAAAGCAAAAATCCCACACACTGCATATTCACCGAAAGTGTGAACCAAACTTTTTTTTAATGTTTTCCCGATAATGGAAGTTATAAGAAGTATATTAAGGGTCCTGACATATCCCTTTTGGTTGTGGGAAAGGTTGGGGGAGCCTGAATACTGGGCGTGTGTTGGAAAGTACATGATAACACAATGACGTCTCATAAAGTAAACTAAAGGGTGCTGTATGAGGTCAGGCATGACTGACCGCGTCCAGCGGTCGTTGAAAATTGCTTAAAGTATCTCAGATACATCCCCTGTCTCTTTCCGAAAAGGGTGACCTACTTGGCCTTAAACATGGTAACTACAAGGAGGTCTATTTAATTAATACTCTAGGATCTGAGAGACGGGCTATTACTGACACCGACAACGATAGTAAGCCTTCGGTACGGACTTCGATCGTAGTCCTCCTGTTTCAGGCAGACATGTTTCGCAGAATCGTTCAATCATCAAGCATAAGTGATTAGCATAACATTACCAGGTTATGTTTACCTAACACGTAGTTAAACACTTCACCAAGGTCAAACAAAGCCGGAAATTTTGAAAACACATCTATTATCGCCCGATATCCAAGAGACAAAGCATTCATGTCCTCTCTGAAATGTGTGATTTGATGAAAACTCGAAACTAAACACTCACCACAGCCATCAACCACCCGAGGAGGCGCTTGCGGACGTGTGCGTCTCTAGGGGATGTGAGCCACACACAATGAAAATACAGAACTGTAATCCAACAGTATCAGATAACGTTATCCTGAAAACATTGGTCACGAATGAGGGGCTACCTGTACTACGAGATTGTGCTGACGCGTGACCGCTGAGAGGTCAGAAGGAGTTGGGGTTGTCGGGCCACAAAGACCAAGGGGAGTGTTGGGTTATCTAGACTGAGTCTCCGTCCCTGCAGCATTTGGCTAGAAGTATGTTGAGCGTAGAGGGTGACCTCTTCAAGGGGCCATTCACATGAATGACACAGACAGACAAATTTATTTCGTGGCCATAGGCCAATAATACAAAATGCAGGCACTTTGGTAACATCATATTGCAGATGCTTAAGTATTAATACAATAAATATTATGAATAAAACATTGTAATATAAATTTAGCGTTCTTGCTTTCTTTATATGACAGAGAAGATGTCGAAGACAAATTAATGTGTTTTTATTGTTACAAGAAATTAGCCAAATAAAGATGTCAATACTGCGGTTAACAAGAGTACAGGAAGAAAGGCATTCTTGTCTAATATCTTCATAATCTCTCACATATTAACACGACATGAAATTCAACCTCGACCAAATGTAAACAATTACTATAACAACAAATCCTATCAGCATAAGTTATGTTCCATGTCTACCCAATTCATTCAACAATAACTTGAATTTACCATATACATTACATTTTGATTAATTAGATGCTATGGAATGCCAGTCTTGACATAAACTGTCATGCAAACGTTGTTTGAAATTGAATAAATGAATAAATTTACATTCCCTACATATTGGGATAACCATACAATGCCCAAACCAAACAGATACAAAATATGTTTAACAGATTTAACCCAAGTATTTCTACCAACTTCAATGTTAAAAGTTGATCAAAGTCAGAATTTGAATATACATGTACCAAGAAAACATTGACTTTTCATCATCTACAGTTGTGTTTATTGACAACCTGCATTCATTTTCTCAAATAAAATTGCACAAAATTCTGGGTGGCAATTGTCCTCATTATTATAGTAAAAATAACTGGGTGGCAGTTGTCCTGGGTAGCAATAGTCCTAGGTGGCAGGACACATCTAGACATATACTGGTACTGGAATGAAACTCTACCTGGAGCCTTTACACTTACTAACTTTCAAAAACATTTTACAGAAGTATATTTGCAAACTTTCTATCTGCCTACTGTACGAAGTGCCCCAAATCTCTACCCCATAAGAAAGGATAGGACAAATAAATGTATAAAAAAATTATAAATATATCTAAGCACGAAATTGTTCCAAATATATTTTGCTAAGTATACAATGACATACAGACTTTTTGTGCTTGAGCAGAAAGACAACACTGAGCCTGAGTCCATGAAAGAGATGGTGTCTACACAAGACCTAAGTATCTATGTAATTTACTACCTCTATTTTCTCACCATTAAAAAAACCTCCTCATAATGGCGAAGAGGACCACCTTTACGAAAAAAACATAACTTTTGTTTTACACAAATTTATACTCATGCCTGTATTATTACAAACTTGATCAAGCACATTTATCTTCCTCTGTAACGGCACTGTGTCTGATAATCATGAAACATCATCTGCAAACAAGAGGACTCCAACACTGGGCACTTCATTACAAATAAAGGTACCATTATCACTATTACAATCACACATTTGAGATGACTGATTTATAAAAATTACAAAAAGCAGCGGACTTAAGATACAACCCTGACGGATGCCAGTATTACATTCAAAAACACCTAGATCTGCTCTAACACAAACAGATACATTTTAATCCATAAAAACAATTAAATTAGGAAATTTCGATTTATAACCATACTAATTAGGCTTTAAAATAATGCTTCATTGTCAACACCATCAAAGGCTTTTTAAATATACAATGCATACTACCACCTTTTTTAGACAAATATTTCTGTATCATCGATTGCAAACAAAATATTAGATCTAGTCTGGCCGAAAACCTGGATTTCGGATCGGACACAGTTTATGTCACACCAAGTTTCAAGTCTTTCCTGAAGGATAGCACAGATCACTTTAATGAAAGAATCAATAAGAGATATTCCTCTATAATTATCAATCACATGAATATTGCTAGACTTGTGGATGGGACAGATTATGCTAGTGCCCCATTGTTTGGGAAATGTTCCATTGTCCAGCAGAGGGTTGAATACTTTTGTCAGGAGAGGTGTTAAATAGGTTTTAGTTGCTTTAAGTAATTCACTTTGCAAGCCATCAGGTCCAGGTGACTTGTTGAGTTTAAGATTGTTCAGAGTAACACTGTGCATAAAGAACAGATGTTTAAAATGGTCACACCACTTATCCTAACTGATGTTTGTAGATAACGAGTAGGATTTTCTCCCCCTTCTGAGAACTTTCCAAAAGGAACTCGTAACTGTTTATAGTGAATGAATTTGGTTTTACGCCGTTTTTAGCAATATTCCAGCAATATCATGGCGGGGAAACCAGAAATGGGCTTCACACATTGTACCCATGTCGGGAATCGAACCCGGGTCTTCGGCGTAACTGTTTATAAATATCATAACTATTTCTAAAAATGCAACCTTAGTGCTGCATATTTTCTTCTTTTAGGACACTCTAAGTCCTCATTCCACAGTGGTTGCATTGCATCAGTTTGATTTATTAAAGACTGTCCATATTTTTGAAATTTCCTCAAATCACAAACCGCGCTCGGTACATGTTTGTTAGCATTGAGACACAGTTCTGGACATTTTCTTCTGATATATCTATATAACTGATCATAATCAAGACATCCTGGAACTTATTCAGAAATGGCTGCACAGAATAACTGTTCCACACATACTTTATCCATGGACCACATTTTATGTGCATAGACTTATTATTACTGCAACTAAATATGCCATCGGCAGCCAATGTAACTCATAAATAGGGGTAATGGCAGTTTCATAAATAGGGACACACAATCCACCCATACATCCATCCATCCATGCTACACAATCTTGGAAATCACTGAAGATACGAGACACATTGCCATGTTGCACAAGCTCCTCTTTGATAAACACCTCCACTGTAGTCAGATTTATGTTGTTTAGGACGAACACTATTGTAAGTATGGTATCCACATAGGTAATCAGCAAAGTCTTTTGCGTCACGAACGAATGATTTACATAATTCAATAATCGCAAAACGCGCAAGCTTCTCAGAATAGCTAGTGGCATACGATATATATATATATATATATAGATAATGGCAGAGTCACTGTCTGTCTCCCTACAGTCCCTGAACCACGTAATGAAGTCTAGATTTCCTCAGGTTCAGAATCTCCCTTGTCACGGGCACTCTTTTTTAGTTTAAAAGTAATTGTTTATTTCTATCAAAATGCTGTGTGCAGAAACGTACCTGTGGTATCTAATCTAATTTAGAAACAGTTGTTTCTGTAAAACATGCTCACTTCAGAGACTAGATGTTATAGAAAAGGGCCATTGAGCGTTTACTCACATATAATTATTCACATTGGGTTTGGGTATTTGTTTGGGATATTCAGCATCTTTTTACTCACTTCCAGGCTATCAGCTATTTCTAAACAGACGAAGTAAACTCTTCTATGTTCTTAAAGGTTTCGACTTAGGCATATGTCCGTGTCTTACAGATGGTCTATAGTTATAGGTGTCCCCATTACATTAACATATACCCGTGCCAATAATGGTTGTCAACCCCCTCCCCACCCCAACCCCCACACACCCCACCCCACACCCACACCCCACACCCCACAC